GCACTGTGCCAGGCAGTGCCCGTCTGGCTACTAAATACCTTTGTTTCCCGTAAGCTGGCTTTTGCCACAAAACCAGGTGACGAGGACAAGTCTACTACGATTTGGGGTTCAAAGACCAAAAAAGATTTATTTTCTTTTCTTTACATTTATTAATTTTCTTAGAAAATGAATAATCATTATAGAATTGGTAAATCATGAAACGAATGAAAACATCTTTTGTTGTTTTTTTTTTGTAATGGGGCAAAAGGGGCATCACTGTTCTCCTTTTTTAGAGTAGAGGGTTAAGGCAGTAAAAAAAATCATAAGCCCACAAATGTGTGTACGCCATGGTCCATTAAATGAAAAGAGCAACTGAACAAAGCCCATGTACCCTCCACACTACACAGCTGACTGGATCATGCAAATCAATGCCGAGGATGCTGGATATCGCAATGCATCTGTGAGTGTTGCTCAGAGTGAGAGCCACCCAAACACCCTACTGCTCTAGAAGTAGAGAATTAATCCTTATCATGCACCATTATTAAACATCATCCCTGAGGATAGCGTTACGCATCTCTCTCACACACATACACACATGTACACAAACACACATTCCGGTCTTTCAATATATTTAAAACGCTCATGAATACATGAATAGCACACACTTTCAGGTATATCTGTGAGTCTACACACACACACACACACACACACACACACACAAACATACACAAACATACATAGTGGCAAGGTCTGGAGCCTCAGTTTCTTTAGACAGGAGGACAGGACTCTCAGAGCCGGAGTCTGTGGAGCAATCATGCCAGTGAAAAGAAATAAAATCTCGCATTCTTTGGAAAATTAGAGGAGCTTCCATTTCAATGCATATTCATAAAGAGCACCTTTGCAGGCACTGCACACCATCACGGCTTGGCGAAGACATGCTTCTTTGTCATGCGGCGAGCCACTTCCTGATAATTCATTTTTCTGATATTGGGGAAAAAAAGACATGCTGGAAGATGTGGTGTATGGGTGGCTGTGTGTATTCAGAGGTGAAAGCACTGCAGCATACACACACATTCACATCGTTCTCTGCCCCTGTCTCTGCACAAATAAAAGGATTTTTCGCTCTTGTAATGCCAAAACAACTCTGCACACGCACACATACATTTCCACATCTTCAAGGGCCTCTACAGCAAGCACATCCCCACCCATTTATCACGTCTGTCGTCACAATGATGCCATGCACACACACATGCTCACGTCCACATGCAATAGCAGAGGGGGACAGAGAGATTCAAGGGAGTGCTGTAGATTGCATTGGTTGTGAAAGGTACTATGTTCAAGCCCACCAGCAAACTGCACAGGCTTCGCATCTGCTCAAAATGTTTTTTGTCAGGCTTCTCTCTTGAATCCGAAGATTTCTGCTTTGATGATAATTATGATCATGACAGACAACCCAAACATAGTGGGTGATTTCAAAAAGACAAAACTAGACAATAAAGAATAAAGGGGGAAAAATGCTCAAATTGCAGGGGTCTTTGTTAAGCCACTCATCCAGGTCACATTTTGGCACAGAAAATTGCTGGCAGCTCATACGCCAGGCAATCGCACACAGTGTAATTGATTCAATATTAATTGGATGCCCCTGATTTACACTGACGGCTAAAGCCTTATGAAGAAAGAAAAAGAGAGAGAGGGAGAGAGAAAGAGAGAGAGACAGAGAACTGGAACCGTTGAAAGCCAGCCTAGCAAAGACCATTTAAAAAACAATTATCTGCATTGAGGTCCATTCTGCATGGCTGCAGCGTGCGTCTGAACTAATCGGTTGATCTATTGCAGAGCAGTCATAATTTCTAAAGCGACACCATGGCAGGACACAGTCTTGAAACTGCCTGTTAAAAAACTTCACCACTCCAAATGGCCACATATTCAGAGCCAAAGTAAATTAAATCTGTCATGTAGACATATTTTTGGACAATGTGTCTCAAAACAGGAGACTGCAGGATGTTATTTGCGTAACTGTTGCATTTCATCAAATTCATGCATTGTGTATTAAACTACACTATTTATAATTTAAATAGAATAAAGCCAAAAACACAACAGTCCACATTCAGATCTCTTATAAACAAATGATTAATAAAACTTGAAAAAAAATAAAAATAAAATAAAAGCACTACCTGATTTTTGACAACCTGCTTTCATTTTTACCCCCTCTGCCAACGAATCTCAGGATTGGATATATAATCTCATTTAGGGATGAGCAGAATAAAACAGTACAGTTAAACAGGAGTTTGAAGTCCACATCAAACTGTCGAGAAGAGAAGAGAAGAGAAGAGAAGAGAAGAGAAGAGAAGAGAAAAGAAGAGAAGAGAAGAGAAGAGAAGGCTGCAGAGTCGATTAGCCTTGTGCTTTCTGGCTGGGCCCCCCAACCAGGATACATGGCCTATTTGGGGCAGTGCACACACACACACACACACACACACACACACTCCTCTCGACTGCCCCTTTTCAGAGTCCATTCCTCTGTGACAGGTACTGCCTTTCGTCTTACTGAGCTGCTCTATATGGAAATTATGATGTTACATCACACATGCAGCACTCCATATTTGGTGGTTTGAACAACACTCTGAACCTGTTTAGCTATATGTCTGACTGACTTTATTTTAGGAACACTATTCCTCAAATAAAACATAATACATAAATAATAATAATAATAATAAAAATAATAATAATAATAATAATAGCGTTCCTAAAGTCTCGAGGCAAACCATTTTTTTCTCTTTATTTTAAAAAATTTCCCCTATGCACATACTTTTCATTTACACATTTATTGTAACCTACAGTCTAAGCTAACCTTGAAGACATTATGTCTGAAACCATCAGCAATAAGACTAATTAATAACTCTTTTGACCAGTCATGGCAGCTCATTCAATAACACACTGAGAAGCTGTTAAAGTTCTCCCCACAAAGCTGTTTTAAAACATAAGAAGCACACATAATACCAGTGACCCAACGCTATCAACTGAACCCTTTTACATTATGATGTAAATGAGTTTAATAACCCAGTTTAGCATCTGACAGAAACAAGAGACGTGTGCACGATAGCTTGCGCATTTAAAGGGGTTGTATAATTTGTGCTGAAATGGCATCAACATCTTTAAAACAAAGGGGTTAACTAGACGTAGCTGACCCTGCTTACCACCCTTATCCATTAAAACCTAAATCAATCAAATGTATGTGCTGGCTACTGGAACCACAGTAAACCCACATGCACCATTTGACTCTATTCACAGCCCCTGGGTTTTTATTGTTCCTTAAGATTCACTGACTCCACTACATAAAAGAGAAGTGGAAACAGAAACACCTCTATGATAGAACTGCGTAACCAATAATTAGCCCTCAATGAGGGCGATGCCCAAACGACTGTAGATGGGACTGACTGGGCCTGAGGCGCTTCCCGGAACCTGATCCTCGAAGCAGACCAGAGAATGGCCCAATGTGAGGCCAGGGCAGAAAAACAGGCTAGAGAGACTCACTCACACTTTTTCTTCTCTCAACAAACGCTCTCTGTAAATCACCTCCAGCAGCCACAAACTCACACACATACTCACTCATATAGCCACCAAGATCACATCTCTAATGTTACATGAAGAACAATAATGGCTTACTTCACTAAAGCTAGCTACTCAAGGCACGGGGAGACTTATGACTACCTTGGGTCACATTTTAACACACTGGATTCCAGACATTTCTTTTTTAAGGTTGTTTACAATCAAAGTGATAAACTGTCTTGTTTGGTTCTTTGTTTCCGTTGCAGTATTCCGTGTTTTCCCATGCCTTATTTAGTGCTAAAACTAAAATAGCACTAAAACTCATTCTAATTAAAATACGCAAAAACTAAAACAAATAATTAGTGGTGTTAGGATTCTTTAAATAAGTGACTGTCCCCTAACATCTGAAAATAACCGAATGGCCTTCCATTTCCTTTCCACTTTTTTGGTCAGAAAGTGAAAATGTGCAGGCATACATTTACATGGATAAGATGTGGCCGTGTAAAAACCGCAGTGAAATCAAGATGCATCTGTGGAAACCACATGAGAGAGTATGAGCAGCGCAGAAAGGCATTTCCCACGGGCCTGTGGACACACACTGAGGGGATGGCCTCTCCTGTCACACTACGATCTCCTCCAACCAGCCCTCCAGCACCCAAACTGCCCTGTCTCTCCCTTGCTCTCTCTCTCTCTCTCTCGTTCCCTAATTCCCTTGGCGTGGATGTGCTGTCCTCCTGACACACCCTTTAGTGCTCTGCTTTGGTTGATCACAAAACGGCAACTTAAAATCAAGGCTCGATGGGCCTCTTCACCACCGGACTGGATTTGATTACTATGGAAAAAAGCACCACTTCGTTAAACTAGAATGAATCCCAGGGTAATACCTGAGTAAGGTTAACTGGTTAACTGCTCAGAAAGACCAAAGGAACAGAGGTAATACTAGACTCACTCATGTGCCAAAACAAGCATACAGCCAATGTCTGAGATGCATGATGTATGCAGTAAGACTGAGTTTAATTAACAAAATCCCACCCAGTCAAAGTGCAGAGTGAGAGCCAGGCTGATTCCAAACTGCGATGAGCCCTAGACAATAAATCAGAACAAAGAATGTTTTTTTTTTCCTTCATCTTCGTGCTCTAACAGAGTCATGCAATGGTATGATATATAAGCCCCCAATCCTCCAACCCCACAGCTCGTAAATATTCAACACTCTGATATGTGTCTCCAGAGTTGTGGACGAGAAACCCCACGGAGAGAGAACATGTGTGTGCGATATGTGGCCTACACATCCACTCGATTCCACAGCGCAAAAAGTGTGCATCACAGACATCCTGAGCACACATACCCACCCACACACAGACACACACATATACACAACATGCAACCGAGGACACAAAATCTCTCTCCGTTCATTTACTGCACTTTCCAATGAGTGCCATGTCATTTGGAAGAGTCTTCTGGGCTGTGATTACCTGTAATGTTCTCCTGTTTAGGACAGATTCCTCGAGAAGATGTTGACAAGCAGTCATCATCCTCCGGTGTGACCTGGACTCCCACCTCTACAGGGTTGGAGGCTCTCCTCAGCTCACCATGTGTAGGCGAAGGGGGTTTATCCACTGCCTTGTCCATGCACAGGGTGCCATTGCATTGCTTCCGTTTGTGCTCAATAAAAATCAGGATATCCCCCAGAGGGAAGTTCATCTGACACTGGCCGCAAGTAAGCAGATCCTGGTCCCCTTCCGGAGCGACCTGTACCAGCCCGTGCTGTTCCTGCCTCTCCTCTGAGACCACAGACGACAGCGGCTCGGCTGCTCACGGGAAGCATCGGTGTGCAAGACACAAGGAATGAGGGAGAGACACAGAGACAGAGAGAAAATTAGCGATTAGGGGTGTTGAGATGAACACAACCAATTTGAAAGAGAATTCAGATCAACCAAATATTACAGATTATTGTTATCTTGACACAAGAATTTCTGTGCAAAGATTGTTTGACGCAATTAGCTCATTAACTTGAGAATTTTTAATTTTCCCCTTCAAATTCCCTTTTCTGGACCCTCTCCATAGATCCAAGCATTATGAAATCATTAAATTGTACAAAAAATGATATCCTAATCAAATTAAAAGTAATTTGCTGTGCTCTAGTTCAGGGAGAAAGATTTGCATCAATTAACCAATATTACAGTGAACTGCATATTTCAATTTAAAGACAAAATCTGGTATTTTAAAGTTTTAAATACAGTTAAAAAAAATCACTACTAACGCTTTTATGCATGGACAGCATTTAGTACAGTGCAACGCAACACCACTCAGCTCATGGTTCTCTTTCTTTTCTCTCCAAGTTTGTATGTGCGCACATGTGAAGAAAAACCCATTAGGACGTGGTTAACAGACATGTAGGCTATGAACCAAAGATATGTGCAAACCAAAGCAAGATCATGCGCGATACTTTTATTTCATTCATAACCACTTTCCCAAACGGCTCCAGCAAAATGCCTCACACACCATCGGTGACTGCACTTTTTTTAGTCGTGATAAAGTTTCCTCCAGCTGGAGAAAAAGATAATACAGGACTACATGCTACCAAAGTGGAAGAGAAGAGCAGTGTTTTAGTGCTTATCGCACTCGAAGTGTTTCTGTGAGTTTCCCAGTACGAAGCATCCTGACCTTCTTTACTAAGCTGCCAATCTCACACTTTAATGGACTTAAAACCGCAGAGGATCAAAAAATAGATCCTCATTTTAGTTAGTGAAGACTGATAAAGGCGGATTTTGATTTCCCCTCTCTGTTTTAAGGTGTTGAGCTCTTGCGAGAATGAGGCTAAACGATTTTAGCTCATGCTGAAGCACATACTGAGCACCCAGACGTTCACCACATGTGCGCTTGATCGCGGACAAAACGACAGCACGGACTGAAACCCGGCTGGTCCGTAGCCTACTTCTTTAAACGCTGGCTCTTTCCGGAGAACAGCGGGGGGTTTTGTAGCGCCCTGCGTTTTTACCTGCGTGGATTAACACGTTTAACTCTCACCACGTACAGGCAAACGCGTTTAAAAGAGGAACTTAAACCATTAGGAAATATTAAGTTTGGGGCTGTTTGAAGAGCTGCTTCATTTTGCCGTTCATTTTCTTAGGTCTGCTTTTTCCGTTCATATTCTAACCGTAGTTCCCTTCCAATATTTGAGGCTGATTAATTAAAATGCAAATCTATGAATGCAGTTGGCTGATGTATTTCTACTTATACATATAACTAATCATCATAATGCAGACAACGATGGATTCTTATGGGAATCGTTTGGATTGAGTAATTACAGATGTTTGATAAATATACGTTCAATCTGCATGTTTACGCTGTCATACAATTTATAAGAGAATAAGCAGCTCATCTTTTTCTATAAATCTTGTAGTGGTACTGCAATCGAGTGTACTAAATAAGACAGCCCATTTAAACCAGAGTTGAAATGTTTAGAAAAGAACCGTTTAAGCTGGTCTAAATCAAATTAAAGCCAATTAAACAGACCGAAGCCTGTATCAAAGGCTGAAATGGTCTGAAAACGCACTTAAATAAAATTCTGCAATTTATTATTTCCCAAGTTTTCTCAAATCCTATCAAGCTCGAAGAATGATCAGGAAAATCGAAAATTAAAATATATACATAGATATTGGCAGTTCATAAATGCAGATCGCATATGGTGTGAGAAAATGAATGAATGGATAAAAAAACATAATACTTGTCACTGAAGTCTCAGTTTACAGTGTTCAGTGTTCTTTCTGAATTAAAGTAATTGCTGTCCAGCGTTCGTCTGGTGTTTGACAGTAAAAGCCATGTCCACAGCGTCAATGTGGTTTTGTTGTCAAGTTTATCTAAACTTGTGTGTGTCTTCTCAGTTGATTAACCTACTTCTTAAAATTTCACCTGCAATCCACTAAATAACGCACGTGGTTCCGGGTGTGAAATAGGCTGCAGGTCTGCATAACAAGTTTCCCTCTCTTACAAACCTATCGTCAAATATGTAGATAGAGGTGGCGGCAAAATCGATCAGGTTCAAGTTCATTTCCAGTTTCTGATCGTAGTGTGCCTCCTAGCGACGGCTGACACACACGGCTGAGAGAGAGAGAGACTGGCGTGCGACCTGGAGACGGCACTGAAACCCAACAGCCTGTGTGTGTGGGGGGGAAACCCAATAATGTTACACGATACGTTACAACGTTACAACAACGTGGGATTTGTGTCAAGCATGTTTATCACGTAAAGGGGAGCCTAATGCTTTTGGAGCTCGGTGTGGTCTGAAGAAAACGAGTCAAGAGAAGAACAATAACTGTGTGCTTTCGTATAGGATCATCGCCATATTCCCGAACATGCTTATGGGGCTATAAAATATGAAATAGGCCGACTTTGCATAACAACGCAATTCTCCTCGAGTGTGTGCGAACACTTTTTGGAGTGTAGTCATAAAAACGGAGTTCCGAAAATATTTAGCCGTTTTTGGTTTAAAAATTTAAAACGCTTTGACGAACGTCTGTTTTAAAAAGTTAAAATTACAGTACCGTGTTGATGTATCTTTGGGTCACTGCCAGGTATACCTAATTAAACGGAAAGCGAAATTCTCCACATGCAATATGAGTTAAAAACAGGGAAAAAGAACACTAGCACTTAAGCCGTGTTCCTGTTGCTCCTCGACATCGACTCGAGCACAGCCGGCAACGTGCTTTCTCTCTCAAATAGCAGCGCTTAAAGTTTTAAAAACACTGCTGTATGTATAAAAGCTCTAGTTGAGCCGGTTTGTGAGCTTAGTTTCAAATACGCGATGAGTGTCTCCGCTGCAGCGCTGCTGCCGGTGGGTAGTACCGCGCACGCCGCGCTTGTAAACAGTCGGACACGAGATTTTTTTTTCTTCCCAATCAAAATCCACTTCCACTTTTTGAAAATCTTCCAAAAATAGTACGAGAGGGGGGAAATCCTGCCCAGAATCGCTCGCAGCCGAGAGCTACGGTTTACTCCACAACACAAGCGCTAAGAGCCAGGGCTGGAGCTGCATACCTACCACAGTCCGGCACCTTGACGGGTCTTAGGTGGTCAGAGCGACGGACGGACGGGGGCACGGAATGCAATGCACGTGCTTACAAAGAAAATCGCGCTCTGAACTTCTTCGAAATTTCAGCGGGCGGTGTGTGGACGAAAGCGAAAAAGTTTTCAGCAGACGAAGGTACGCGTCCTGCTCTTTCGTGAACGGCAACACTCGCCGCGCTCCTTAGTGAAGTCCACTTGACCACGGTCTTCGCTGTCCACTGTCCAGTGTGCCTTCGCCGGGTTTCGCTCCTCGATAGCTGCTTTTTTTCCTCTTTACTGCACGTTACACACCGAGACCGAGAAAAGGTGAGGGAAAGGAGGACACAACACACACATGCTGTACTTACGCGAGAAATCCCGTTTGCTTAAGTGCTGGGGTTTGCCTTGCTTGCGGCGAGACATGGTGGTTGGTGGTGGCTTTCAGCTCGGTTCACATCGGGAGAGCCGGGTTAGAAGGGAGACTCCAGAGAAAATATCTTCATCAATGCCTTTGACATCCAAAATAAATTAGAAATAATAGAAAGATGGCGCTGGGAAGATGGATTGTGGGATAGCCGTCATGGCTTTTTTGAAAAGAGAGAGAGAGAGAGATGAAAAAATGGCAAAAGCCCCCCTGAGCTGCAAGTTCAAGTGCGGACGTGACGTCCCTGCGAACTTGAACGTCAGGAGATGGATGGACACAGACATACAAAACATGGGCAGGGCAAAGCCGGGGAGTGGGAGGAGGGAGTGGAAATAACAAAACCAATGGACACTCATTAGGGGCTGGACATGAAAAATAGACCCGAAGAAGCCAATGGACAGAAAGATCAGGGGGCCGGACAAGAGGCGAGAGAGAGAGAGAGAGCGAGAGCGAGAGCGAGAGAGAGAGAGAGAGAGAGAGAGAGAGTTTAATGAAAGCAGTGTGCAGTGTGTGTGTCTGTGTGTGTGCGTGTGTGTGTAGGGGGTGGACGTAGGAACACGGACCACGAAAAGCCAATGGCCATGAGATTCAGGGGGGGCTGGACATGCGCTATGCGAGGGGAGGGGGAAAGAAACCTTTAATAGAAGCTGCTTCAGTGGACATTGACCAGGGCTAGCGAGTACGAACACAGCGGCTGAAACGCACGTTCAGCTCGTGGTTCAACAGAAGTGTAGAGTTCAAACGGACGCAGAGCGACGGCGAACCTGCGCTGAAAAACAAACGATCAGGTTGCGCGTGAACAAGACGGACAGGTTCCGCACCAGGGCACGGAGTCTCAGCGTATCGGAAGAGCGCCTCATGTCCCCGAGCCCTGCCACAGAAACCCCCCAAAAACGAGTTAAACAATATGTTAGCGACATCCGTCAAGTAAAACTGGACACTCACAGTTTTTTTCCCGAATGATGTAGGTGGGACTTAAATACTACACAAGTGTAGCCTAGTTTTAAAACCCATACCACAGTGACGACTATATGATGGGAGCAGCCCACTACAAAGGGGGCTGGGGTTTAATAAGTTTCAGCTGTGTTCAGGTCAGAATGGCGGCGGGGGGAGGGGGGTTTATGGAAGCTTTTCCACGCGGATTCCAGTAGAAGATGCTTAAAACATTTCAAATAACGCCACGTAAAGAGGCTTGGAGCGTGTAGGCTGCGCACACGCGAGGCGGGAGGAAGAGAGACACATCCCCGCCAAGTAGCTGAAGTAGGACTAGTCTTAGCAAGGCTGCGCGACACAATCACGGGAGCGCGAGCAGGCGCCAGTCTGCGGGGAAGGGGAGAGAGGCAGGAGGGACTCTGAGAGTGAGAGGAGCTGGGATGGAAAGACGAACCTGCGAGATAAGGTGTGGTCAGTGAGCGAGTGAGTGACAATGTTTTACAGGCTACGCTGTTTTGGTGTCTTTCGTTTTGGAGAAGAGTCGATCGGTGTGTTGGCGCGGGTTAGTTCTCTGAGCTCAGCAGTGAAGTGGCAGAAACTTTCGGCAGAAGCTGGCACCGAGTGGACAGAGCCACCTTAACGCTAGAGGGACGATTCGTGTTGACAAAGTGGTGCAGAAACGCGAAGGGCGCAACCTCGTTAACTTTGTTAAGCAGTTTTCATGCGTTAATGTGCTTATGAACTGTAGTATAGCACGACAGTAGAATGATATGTCTTCTTAAACTGAAAACAGTCCAAACAACAGGGAGAGTGGGAACACTGATTAATGTGACTTTAGGATTCACGGTGTTTCTGTGAAGTCGTGCCGGTGGCAGTCATGCTGCATGCAGTAAACGAGACGTTGAAAGGGTGTTTAGAAACTGCTTTGGGAACATGCTTTTTTGGGAGTGTGTTGTCATAACCTCTGCACCTCGTCATATTAAACAAACGATAATATAACATCAGTTTGATGCACGCTGAAAATAGCGCAAAGTTTAGCATAACAAACCGATTGAATGCAGCAGCGTTTTGCGTTATAAAATGTGGCCTTTCGCATTTATAATGGAACCTGGTGGACAGGTAGGGGGTTGTGACGGACCGCGGTAACTAGTTCTGTGATATAGACACACCGTGTCGTGCGTTGTGTAGAAAGGGAACAAGGCTAACCTTGACCTGCACACATTCCCCACTTCTCTCCGCGTTTCCTCTTTCTTTCTCCCGCCAGCCCAGCTCCTTTAGGCGGACACTGATCAAAGCAGATGAAGCGCTACGCCTCCTGCGGGGACTGAGAGCATAAGGCAGACAAAGCCCTGCGCGGGAAAGAGGAAAGCTCTGCCTGTAAACGGCAGTGGGACTGAGCCCATCATACACCAGTCAACCGACCTCAAATATACTGGAGTGTCCATGTCGCCTATAGCGCACTGCCAGGCACGCTTCAGTCGCTTTCCAGAGAAGTTAGTGTGTGTGTGTGTGTGTGTGTGTGAGAGAGAGAGAGAGAGAGAGACAGATAAAGTGTGTATGTGTGTGTGTGTGTGTGTGTGACCGATAACCGATCAATGCTTAAAACGAATATCAAGCATGCAAACTGATGGATCCCGTTTTATCTCAACATTTACTTGATGTGTTTAAACTTAAATTTCATGATCCAGAAAAACGCCGTGAAACGCCTCTAAGTCACAGGCACGTCTTCACGGACACTGAGTGACCGACTGGCCGCTTGTGCGCATTTTAGCGTGTGGGAATGATAAATCAGCGCAGAATCCTCTTCATGCTTCACTCTTTCCCTCTATATCTCTTTAATCTCTACTTTGTGCAGCTCTCTTCCACCACTTTCTGTTTTTTTTTTTTCTTTTTAAATCATAAGTCTCCTCAGCGCATGATCTATTTGCATTTCATACACTTCTCTTTCGGCCATAACCAGACAATATCTTCCTCTCAAATGAAAGTATGTTAAATCACAGCCAAATTTCCACCGAACTTGTCTGGATGTCATAGCTCTAATGATCCAAAAGTTCCAGCCACCGACTTCGCCTTTGTATTTTTAATTTCCCAGTGATTTACATTCGGTTTAAAACTATTTGGAGCTGTATGTCCCGCTGGAGATTGCTTCACGTGCAAAAAAAAAAATATATATATATATATATTATTTAAAGAAAGTGGCACAACTTCTCCCAGGTTGTCATTCTTTCTTTTCAAATACAGCGACAGACAAGTGAGAATCATACCAACAGGCTGATCAGTACTATGTATATGAAGTTATCTAGTTCAGATAAAGATAAATGAAAAGAGATGCGCAGATTCAAGAGTTACTTTTTGTAGTGTGTGAATGGTTAGCCGGAGGGATTTATCAGCTTATTAAAACAGGCCTAGTCTATTGTGTAAACGTTATTAGTCTATGAATTATTTGTGCTCAAAGTCATGCGTGCTTGTACCTTTAAAGCTGTTTTGCTCAGGTGTGAATTTAGACAACTTTGTTATGTAAACAATTTCTTTTAGGGTTCATAAATAGTTGAATACAACTTTCTGATCACTACGGGGTAATTTTTAAAAGGATTTCATTCTACTGTTTGCAAACTGTTATTCACAAGCGATTTCACTGTAAAGATTGCTGCATTTAGACTGAGGGAGGCAGCCCCTTCCTTCATATTTATCGCAATATGTAAAGATTACAGTTAGTAACTTCACTTCTTTTTCGAAAAAAACGACGGTTTAACCCAATCATTCACGCCGTTTCCGCACAAATAGGCTGTGTATCATTTAACTGCTAGTTCATGTGTAAATACTTGTGTATTTGTGCGCGCGCGCCCACACCACTTGAGTTTGTTAGTGGACGCTGCTGAACACAGAAGGCCCCATGGAGAGGGTTTGGATTGGGGCTCGTACAGATGGAGAGCGAGGAGGTTAGGCTCTGATAGAGCCCGCACTGACCCTCTTGGACTGAATTAAATCAGTCTGGCCTTGCTGTTCCTTCTAAATAATGTGCCATGCGTCTCTATGATCAAGTTGCCAACATTCTCATCATCATCATTATCATCATCATTTTGACGGCTATAGGCAAGGCTAAAGCTTCTACTGAACAAGCTTTACTTCAGCATGGAAACCCGTGACAAATGCTCGATTACACCTTTGCTTTACAATCGTGGAATTAAGCAGGATGCGCTGAAGACACGGAGCCTAGTGACAGGCCTGCAGTCAAATGGGCGACTACTGTAGAGAGATCATTAAAACGAGATTTTCTCGGACCTGAAACCAATAGGCTATTTGACGGTGATAAACATTTTAATCAACAGGCTGCTTAAAATGAAATTCTACAGGGAATCGACGTGTGTTTTCAAAGACCAAAAAGGAAGCTTTTAACCACACTAAGCCAAAATAGTGAATATGAGTCTCACCTCAAAGGAAAGAAAGAGAAGCGGAATGGGAATTATCTAAAAAAATCCCTAGTAAGTCATGCTTGCCTTTTTGAAGAAATTTCAAGCTTTAGTAGTTCAGACAGATTCAGAGACCGAAAATTAATATTAATGGGTAGATTCCACAATGGCATTATCACACTGAGCGATGGGTGGGCATGCCATCTGGGGTTTGGCAGGTATTAGATATAATCAAAGGGATTAGGTGTCTGTGGGAAAAAAATTTAAACGTGAGTACTGGTGGTTCTTATATAAAAAAGCAGCGATGTGAATGTGGAGAGAGACAGAGAGAGAGAGAGAGAGAGAGAGAGAGATTTAAAATAAAACAGCGCAGTCTCTGAATTTAAATCGAACACATACACACGAGCTCTGTGATACTATGATTACATCTGACCGTCCTTAATTCAAGCAGACAAGTTTCAGTAGCACACATGCCCATCGTACGTGTAGGGTTGTGGAATCTGTCAAGCACTCATCAATTTATGGTAGAGGCTAATGCATGCCCGTGTTTATTGCTATGATAGTTAAGTCGTTGTTAATTTTACACTAAACGGTAGTTATGATGATGAATGAGGAGGCCAAGATAGCACACTGGGGACGTTTATCTGCAGGCCTGCTGCACAGCCTTGCTTTCTTTTTATGTTCTCAGATTTCAGATTGGAAAGTGCACAAAACGTATCTGTACGGTCATATTCAAGTGCGTTATTAGATACATAAAATAAGCCACAATAAGATAGTTGGTCACATATAAGCAGGTACCTAAAATATGCCAATAAGCCTTAGCCAATGAATGAAATTAATCGTGTAGTACAAGGCTAGGATAATCACTAGGGCTCTAAATCATATAGAATAGACCATGCAAGGTATCTTTAAAAAGCGTACCTT